TTTGCATAATACGCTTTGTCAATTAATTTTTTTTAACGGCTTATACAATGGATTGAAGTGTTCTCATGTATTTCTGATGAGCTTCTAACAGTAATTTGATTATGGTACAATTTCCTTCTGCTGTACAGAAAACGGGCAGACCTCTGACAAGCCTGAACCAATCCTACAGAGGCTATGGAGGTGGTATGTGTACATCCAGTACTGGGCTCACAGTAGTGACAGGTGGCTGTTCCGTCCTTGACATGATACCCCCTCTGGAAATGGTTCCCCTCGGCAACAACGTTGTACCGTGTTCAATGACTCTCTCCTCGCGCACCAGCATTAGTAGCAACGGAAGCTCGCAAAACGGCGCTGGACCTAGCAACGGCCCCATGAACCAATATGGCCGCCTCCTCTCGGAACAATCGATGGGCAAGAAGCGCAGGGGTAGGAAACGGAAACGCAGGCTCAGCTCTGAGGACCTTGACAATGAAACCAGTAACGGTAGCCAGACACCCGAAGAAGTCAAAGACACAACAGACTTGGAAATCAAATTGAAAAATCAGCAGAGTCCGAGCAAGACGAGAGTGAATGGCATCACGGAAGCCGCGTCCCCGATCGGGATCCTGCAGTCGGTAACGTCGTACTTCGGTGCGGAAGGACGCATCGCATGTGGGGAGGGCCACAAGGTGCTTGGGAAGCGTGTCTGCGCGGACGGCAAGGTGCAGTATTTGATTCAGTGGGAAGGGAGCTCACCTTAAACTATGGACCTACTCCCATCAGAAAGAGAGAGAGGGCAGCTTCTTGAAGAAATCCGCTCTTCGATTCCGCCGATGATGGAAGGCAGAACTGCGAATGAGTCGAGGCATATATATGATTATCCGTTTCACCTCTTTTCGTACAACAATAACATTCTTGTATTGTCTGTGGAAATACTGCAGTTGAAAAAAGAGCAGGGGGTGTTTCACAAAACTTGTCATCGGTGACATCAGACAATTTTTGTTATAAGCTACTAAAATCCTTGCTTCTGATTGGTTATCAGTAGATTTGTCACTGATTTTTGTCATTTGTCATTGAAAAAATACTTTGTGAAACGATCCCAGGTCCCTGTGATGGAAGTGCATGTTGAACTCTTGAAAATGGCCTTACTATTAGGCATCAAAGAGGGAGAATGCGTCGTTCTAAAGAAAATGCAGGTGGTTGCAGAATGGGTTATTGATGGGTACACAGGGCTTCCATGTAAGTTGTATAAAAAGATCTGCTAGATAGTGCTGTAAGGGATCGATAGAGGAATTCCAAGGTCATCTGCTGATGTTGCATTACTCACTAGCTGCTTGATATTGCAATGCTGATAAAAAGATGGTGTTGGGATTTAGATGTAGCGCTTGTGGCTAAAGACAATAGAAAGATTATTTTCAACAACTTGTTGAAATTTTCAACGCTTTGAGTTGGTTCCCACATTGCATAACATAAGATACAGTGTCCTTATCAAATAATCTGTACTTTAATAACCAAGATGATCTCCGTGGTCACCGACTGCCGACTTTAACCCATAGTCTACTTGAACCTGATGATCCATGTATCAAGCCTTGGGGAATTACTTTGTCCAGTAGTCAATGGTTATGCAATTTTGGAAAGATATCGATACCGCTGCTTCATAAGACTGGAGTGCTGTAATAGTGAGGTGGGGAAAATGTTTGTATGAATATCCAAGCTGATTTTTCTTTTAACACCTAACGTCAGGCATATATTACCACATAGACTAAAAACAAACCCTCTGAAAAGTATTACTCCATCTTGGACGTTGATGTATTGTCTGTAACCCGTTGCATGTCGGCTTTTCTGTTTTCTGACCTTAACCACTCAGACATTTCCAGATTCTTGTAGGGTTGTCGTCCATCCATAAATGTGCCAAAATACCTCTGAAGAAACATCTCTGTACCCTAAACTGTTTAAGTTTTTTAAATAAATATTTTACCATGATTTGTTATAGAAGAATGGAGCAATTAGAAGCAGGTCATAGGTCATAGGTCATGGGCAGTATTTTCTATATTTGTGTATATTTTTGGATACCATTATTACATTACATGCTTAATCCATTTCTTTATGTTCATATTTGTAGGATGATGTATCCACATGACATGGTAATAAAACTAGATTTCAGGGTCATTAGGTATTTAGGTCAAAGGTCGAGGTAGGTTACTGTCTAAAATCATATGGTTATTGCTTTTTCACTTTATAAATTGTTTTTAAGTTGGCAACATTAGGTTTTCTTGTGATATTTCATAATGCAACTCTTTCACTGAGGGCCAAAATAACAATACAATCATAAAGTTAAGGAAAAGACATTTTATATCAATTCCACTCCTACAAGGCTTTTCTAAACACAAGTGCTGTGATTATGTTTACAACTTTACATGTTATTGTCAATTGTGATATGCAAGTAAATCACACCTTTGTTAATTTCATTTTCTTCTTTTTTAAAGTGATGGCCTCTGTATCTTGTATTTACAGTTTCCTTCGACTTGTTCTTGATCATATTTGTTTTTTACTTCTACATTTGCTTCAAACCTAAATTTGTCAGATATAGAGCATTGGGGCTTGGGCTGCAATAGGGTTTTACGTGAGGTTCAGCGATAGGGTCCTGTTTCATAAGACTTGTTATCAATAACAAGTAACAATAGAGTACCGAAGCTGTGACGTCATAAAAATCTATTTTTAGAATTTCTCAATTTTTTCTTCATTTTCCCAAAGAGCATCAAAAATAATGTCCAAATGTCGAAAACCAATTGAATATGTTGAGCATTGGCTGAGATATGACCATCTAAATAAATACATGTCCTATGGGAACTCAGTGTTATACATGTATGCTCTGGCTCCTAGTGGTTAGGAGCCAGAGCATATAACACTGAGCTCCTATGGGGAGTATATTTATTCAGATGGTCATATCTCAGACAATACTTAACATATTCAATTGGCTTTCAACATTTGGACATTATTTTTGATGCTCTTTCGGAAAATGAAGAAAAAAATGAGAAATTCTCAAATTAGATTTTTGATGACGTCACAGCTTTGGTACTCTATAACTGTTATAAGCTACTGAAATCATGGCATTTGAAATTTAGCGTTTGTTATTGATAACAAGTTCTATGAAACAGGGCCCAGGTGGTAGTGTTGGGTCATCGAATCATTGTCCCAGCCATGCTGTTGTAAATTGTATTGTGCTTATATGGAAGGGAGCTCAACATATTTCCTTCCTATGTGCAAAGGAAACATCTTTGAAAAATTGGTGTCTGCTTTTGACGAATGGCATGGACAGCGATGAATATCAAACGGAAAGTTTCAAGTGAAGTTTCAATAGAAAAGTGTTCTCGTGCATTATGTTGATGAATCCCAAAAATAATATTGAATCTAAATATTCCAAGCTACAGTATTAAAGTAGGATTGTTTTAAAGATTGTCTTGTCGCAAAATTTGATATCTGATTTTTTTTAATTTAAAATTTGAATTGCAATTTGTTTCAATTATTGAATCCCTGCAGTATTACTTGTGGAAAATTGATGAAAATAAATCTTCAAATCTTCAAACTTAAAGCAATTAGTTATAATTGTTGGTCTCTTAGCGTAAATGTTTTTGATGTTATTGTTAAAGATAAAGGTGAGTTCTGGTAATGCGATTGCATTGTAAAAGAAAAGGTGTGGAATGGATCAGAAAAAGTTGATCATATAGCATGTAAGTATTGGTGTGTACTGCAAGGTTCTGGAGTCATCAAAATCATCATAAATTTGGCCCAGTCTTGGAAAAGTAACAATCACTGTACACATAAAGATGTATATGGGACAACACAAATGGTGTCAGGGCTAGTACTACCTTGATTTCCTTATCTTTCTATGCTCATTACTCAGCCAGTATTCCAAAATTGTTTGGCACATGACATTTATTTGTAATCTTGAACATTCAGTGTAAGTTTTGTTAGATTCTGTGAGAATTCATTTTCTTTTTTTACCAGAACTCAATTTTATCTTTAAGTCCAAACAACTCTAAGCACTTTTCCCTTAAGTGCTTATCTCAGCAACTTTGCAAAACAGGATTAATTATTGGTGCTGCATAGATACATGATACATCTTATATTGTATTGACATATAACATTAACATTGCATGAATTATCTCATAAATCAAATTGACCATGACTGTTCTTTTTATGTTACCAGGTATTGGTTAATTATGCTAATTAATTGACATCAAATGTGTCATTTCACTTCATAGGATGAACCTCGTGTCCAAGCTGTTGGATGTTGTCAGTAACTTGTCAGACAAAATAGCTCGGACTTTCCCAGTACGTTTTTTCTTTTCTTTTTATTAAGTACATTTATTACCGTACATCATGTTGTCCTTGTTTTTGTACTCGTTCTTATATTGTATTTTGATTTGATGAACAATCATGCGGCTTGTTCATCAATTGCAAAGATTACGTAAAGTTGAGTTTTAAGATGTAACTATTTTCAACTATTTTTCCTTTAAAGTTACTCAAGCGTAGGTATAAAGAGTGCAGCACACGAACGTACGCACAGGAGCGTAATACCCATTGGCTCAGTGTTATGTAGTGATCGGGAGTGATCGCCAAGTTGCCTACTTCCCGAATGACTTTATACCCAAGCATGAACATCTTTAACAGTAACTCTTTCCTTCCTTGGCACTGCCGTCGTATGTGTTAGAAGATTCATGTTTTTATTATTATTTCTAGTCTGAGCTCCAAGTACTTTGAAGTATGCCACTGTGTTTATATACCAGATTAAATCATGTGTTTTACATTGTTTACTTTTTCAGAATGTTTCAACCATGAACAAATGTAAATGTTATAAAAAGTTCTGTACCACAAATAAAAAAAAGCACACTAAAACAACTTTGTTTTAATCTGTTGTTTTTGTTTAAATAGACATATCCTGTCATGAAGTATCAATCTTTGATGGTGATGTATTTCTACACTAGACTACTATAACATACAACAGCACACAAAGTTTATTCAGATAAAATCATATAATTTATTAAACATGATTCTGCCAGTACAAAGATTCCTCCATACCAGTTATATCTCCAAACAGCCTTCACAACGTTTTAATTATAGCTAGTATAAACTCTTAATCACACATTAAATCGTTAATTTTCTAAGATCCACTTCAAAGAGCTTTCTCTGCCCAGTTTTCAGTGCATAGTTCAGGTAGTTTGTAGGTGGCAGTTTCTTTTGCAGAAGTGGAGCAAAGTAGATTAAGGTTGGAGTAGAATTGGGGGGGGGGGGGGTGAATTCCCATACATTGTTCTTGGACATATCTAGCAGATAATGGATATTCTTTCTCTCAGCTCTCTCTTATCTATATTTCACCACCCTCCCCTCCTCTCTACCCCTCCTTTTCTCCCTTTTTTACCTCTCATGATTTCAGTCATATAGTCTCTTTTTTTCTTTTGATATCTTCTAATGTCTCTGACATCACTTGATACATCCCAAAGGATTTGATTCCTAAGATATGTCCATCAACATCCCGTGTTGAAGTTGCCGGCCAGACAAGATCATGGCTACACACCAGTCCTCCCAACTATCCAACATCTAGTCCATTGTATCTCCATATTTGGTCTTCATAGAAACGGAACCATCAACCTCGTCTTGACCTCCACGACTTGCTATTGCACTTGAGGTGTTGCCCTGAGCTTGTGGCTCGCCGAGTTGCTCTGTGACTGTTCTGTGTGGTGTAACGACATCATCGTTGTAGCCCGCTGCTTGAGCCATTCTTACCCAGTTCTTCTGGCAGTCTCTGGATGCGATAGATGCTGCCAGGTAGCCAAATACAATAGCTCCACCTTAAAGATTTTTATTTTTTTTAATCATAATGACATTTGTACAATATTATACAACAATGATACTGGAATTAGCATTATACAATGTAGAGCAATCTTGGGTTTTGGTGATGAGGGGAAAATAAATTTCAATCATTTAAACCAAACTTACATGAATGTTCAATACTGCCAAAAGGTACTACAAAAAATATAATATCCCAGTAATGTCACTAATTTGTTAAACTAGCAAGCCATCTTGATTCCTGATCGCTTGATGAGTATTGCTAGAACATGTGGTTTCAGTGAATATTATATCCAGCAAGTTTTGATGTTGGTCAATGTTATTGTTGGTCAATGTTATTGCTGATCAATGTTATTGCTGATCAAAACCACTTTCATAGTTTCATTCATCACTCATGATTGACATTTTAATGTTTAACCAGGGAATTAGCCATGGAAAATTTCAAACAAAGATGAACAGATTGAAAATGTTAATATTCATGTTCAGACATTTCAAACTATATAAAAGGAAATTAATCAAATTATCAATTGGTGTCATTGACATTTTCCATACATATTATGATAACCTTTTATTATTTGCAAGATATTATAGTCCTACGTCCTGTGATTTTGTGATATATATTCTATTAAGAATAATCAGGCTGAACTTTAATACAAAGTAGAGATTTTTTAGAAATAGATTTAAACAAAAAAATATTCAACATATAATATTTGATGCATATCCAATAGAGGACTTACAAATGTTTTAGACTACTTTACCTGCTATTGCTGAAACTGTGTGAGATGGGGTGAACCTAGCAGCATATCTTTGCCGAGCATAGATACTTGCTGTTAACCCTGCAGCTCCACCTAAAAAGAATTCCCCCAAAACGAAAACATGTAAATGATGCAATAAATAATTGAAAACAAATTTGAGATCGCATTATTAGTCACAAACATGACACTACACGTCTTGATATATGGTCATTTTAGTTTGTGTACGTCTCATATAAAATTGTTTTATAGCTTGACCCTAAATGCATTCAACTATAGTTCTGTAGTTCTGGAGTTGAACAAAAATTAATGTTTGGAGACAGCATCCACAATGAAATACTTTGTCATTTATTTTTTAACATCAAGACCCCAAGCCATTAAGTCTGACTGCACTCAAAAATTGGTCTTGAGATTAAAACTGATTTCAACAACACGGTTTCTGATATCTATTTAAATAGCTAATTTACACAAAAGAAGAGACTTTTCACAAATTAGTATTGAGCCTAGCTAACCATCTTTATTATCTGAGTAAAACCATTGACCATGTCAGTGAATCATGGAACTTAAAGTTAAACAGTTGAATCATCATTAGACATTCAGATTTGTTAGCTTTTAATTTATTATTAAATATTATAGACTAGCTCATATATATTTACTCACCTGCTACAAAACCAATGAAGCCTTTCAAAAATGCCTTTGATTGACATCGGGCATACTCTTGAACACCCTGTAAATTTTTGAACAAAAACAATTGCTTTATGAAAATATATCTCGGCTCTGCTCTGAGCTCTGATAACAAAAATAAAAAAATTAGGAGAATAAAAACAAATTATTTATTAGGGTGGTCTATAACAACAGATAAGATTCAGACTTCATTGTTCAGAACTTGGGTGAATTTCATTTTCGGAAATCTAGCAACATTCCTCTTGTTTACAGTGGACGAAAAATCACCGAAGGCTAAATGTTAACAAGTATTTAGGAAGGAGAATTATGTCAACATTCTAAGCTCAGCTCAGCTCAGGCTCAGGGCCAGTACCGGAAATCGCCCACAAAACTGTGCCGACACTGCCCCGTCTGCGCGCGCTGCGTAACGTCAGTTTCCCTTTCCACGATCGCATTATGCTGCATGCAGCTGCAGCAGAGTTAATAGCGGAATCATTTGGTGGTGAGGCTTCAAAGAACTCCAAAGACTTTTACTCACCGGATAAACGTCATCATCAAGGTCTGTGATACTCTGCAAAACCATGATTTTACCTCAGAAGCCGGCTGCTAAATTGTTCACATTACGCAATTTTGAATGAACTTATCACACATATTTTCGCAGATGTAAACAACAAATTATGTACGGTAGTGTCGAGTTGCACAGTTTATGTCTCAAAGAAAATACGAAAATGCTCCACATAATCTCACTTATGACAGGCCATCAAAGAAAAGCTTATATAATTTTGAGCGAGAACAGTATACTCCGATTAAGAGACTATTGGAGTATTCGATGAAATCATGACTAAAGATTTAAAATTGAAAAAAAGCTACTTTACTTGATGATTCTGAAATCAAGTTGTGTAACACACAATAAATGACGGTTTCTCGCCAAATTTGGCTTGCTTTTCTGATGACGTCATTGGTGATTCCCCGTCGCGCTGCGACTTGTGAAAGTACAGTTTTGTTCAAGTAAAAACTTTACCATCGATCGTAACCATCCCTGAAGCTAAAGGTAAGCTTCAATAGTTCTTAAATTCGTTTATTTATACACTCATTTTCTTGTCACTTGATGAATATAAATAAAACATTGCAATCATGTTTCATACCGGTAATTCTTTACTTCCTGAAAATTGATTGTCAGAAGCCGTGACGGCGCGGCGTGAGTAGCGTGCAGATCGGCGCAACGGGGCCTGGAGCTCTGGCGTAGGCGCAGGCCCAGACACAGCTCACATCGGGGTCAGCTACGAGCATGCAGTTTCCACATATTGTTTCGCATGATTGGTAATAAGAGCTTCCAAGAGGGGGCGTTTCCAAAACTGGTCTTTACCAGTAATAGTAATACAAAGTTTTGGTATGCGGTCATGAATTTGGTTCAATTAATGAAGATAGATTTTTACTATTCATCTAATTTTCAAAATTTCCTTAAACTTTCCTTTAATTCTTTTAATCAAAATTATAATTAATAAATGACACTATTTGTAAAGCTTAAATCCTCCTTTTTTTTCTGGGATGCACTGTATGTCTCATTTACAAGCGCGTAGCCAGGATTTCATTTTAGGGGGGGCGGTAGTGAGCACGCGAAGCGTGCGAATCACTTAAAGAGCGCGCGAAGCGCGCTCCCTAGGGGGGTGGGTGCAGAGAGGGGGGAGTTTCCCCCCTCCCGCGCGAAGCGCGGAAGCTTTGAAAGAAGACGATTCGTTGTACCTTTCTCGACTCATAATCCTTGTCTGAATTCAGTCCCTCCCCTCTCTCGCGCGAAGCTTTGACGTTTCATTAAATTATTAGAGAAAGAAGACGAGTCGTTGTACCTCTCTCGACTCTTAATCCTTATCTGTATTTAGTCCCTCCCCTCTCTCACGCGAAGCTTTGACGTTTCATTAAATTATTAGAGAAAGAAGACGATTCGTTGTACCTTTCTCGGCTCTTAATATATCCTTGTCTGAATTCTGTCCCCCCCCCCCTCTCGCGCGAAGCTTTGACGTTTCATTAAATTATTAGAGAAAGAAGACGATTCGCTGTACCTTTCCCGACTCATATTTCTTAATTTGAACTCAGTTTCCTCCTTCTTTGACGATTCATTGTACCGTTCTCGACTCCTTTTCCCTCTTTCTTCCTACGTCCTCTTTCTTTTTTTTCTTCTCTTTCTCTCTCTTTTTTTTTTTTGGCCGGCGTTTTGGGGGGGGGGCGACCGCCCCCACCGCCCCCCCCCTGGCTACGCGCCTGCTCATTTATCATTTGTCTCATCTGTTTTACCTGTAGGTGTTTGACTTCTCCAAGATGGCTGTTGCTGAGCAGTGTCCCATGGATGAGAGCAGACGGCTGGATCCCTATGAGCAAGACAAGGAAGCACATGAATCCTTCATGAAAAGTAGGAGTAGTAGCCTCTTAGGACGTAAGGATATCCTGGAAGAGGTTGGTGTAACTGTTAAAAGGGGTAATATTCCATGAATTAGGGACCCACTTTAATACATAAGGAACCCACACTTATTTGTGGCTCTGAGTAAAGACTTATAGTGGAGTGAGATTGTAAAGTGATTTCCAAGCATATTATTGCGTCCTCATACCTAGAATCACTTAACAATCTCACTCTTCTATTCGGGTCTCTATACTCAGAGCCACAAATATGTGTGGGTTCCTTATGTAAGTGGGACACCAAAAATGTCACAAAGTGGGTCCCTAATTTATGGAATTACCCGAATATATTATAAAACAGGGTCTAGAATGTAGGCAATCTAATTGGTCAAATGACACCATGTGACAGGGCATCTTTCTTTCCTACCACGCCTACCATGCCAAAAAGTTCCCATCAGCAAAAAATGATCACCAATTAATGGCTGAAAGTGATAAAGCACGGCTAGCGTATATCTGGCATGTACAAAATAAGATGCGGTGAATTGCTTGCAGTCTCAAATGGCAAAGACAATGATGCACGTACTGCACCTCAATGAGCTTGTTCCCTTTTTGAGAAAGAGTATCGGTAGTTAGAGACAGATAGGAAAGCCGTCATCAAAAGGAGATGAAATGAAACACTTCCCCAGCCTTTCTTTTGAACCTTTTTTGTACATTTCATTCACCCAAACCCTGTGCCCCAATGAGAGTATAGCTAGTGCCCCATTAATGTACGTCACACTCACTTATAGTAAGAGCCCTGTTTCATCTAAACTTGAAATCAATTCAGAAGTTATAAGCTACAGATATCATTGCATTTGATTGGCTGGGAACAATTTGTACAATTTTAGCGTTTTTGATGATAAAACATTTTATGAAACGGGACCCTGCATGATGTTGGTATCAAATGTGTGTGCAGGTATACAAAAAATTATACACATCAATTAAATCCAGTAACTCATTACATGCATACATACATTTATTACAAATGACAATGGATCTTGCAGATTGACAGGGGGTCCAGGGGGAAGTGTGGCGCCCTCATTGTTCTTGGTGGACCAGGTATCGGCAAGTCTTCTCTGCTAGCCAGGGCTGCTGATGTAGCATGCTTGAGGGCCGCCAAGGCAATGCCCAGGTATATAGTTCCTTGGATCAGGGACCCATTTCACAAAGCCTTCTTTCAATGATGAATGACAAAAATCAGTGATAAATCTGCTGATAACCAATCAGAAGCAAGGATTTCAGTAGCTTATAACAAAAACTGTCATTTGTCACTGATGACAAGTTTTGTGAAATGCCCTCCTGTTCATTTAAGTTTACTCCTGAGTGGCTTTATTCAACAAAAGGGACAAATGGGGGACTGCCACAGCAAAATTACGGCTCAAGTAATATGTAAATGAAAATATACTTCAAACAGTGTGGGTGTCCAGGTTTTTAATCCTTGATGAATAAAGAATAAAGAGATTTATGCACTTCTTGTAGCTACTTGCGCCCTCTTTATAGCAAACAATGCTAATTGGTACCCGTTGGTCCCCCATGATCCCCTTTTTCTTATTTTAATTGAGAGTTGATTTGATTAAATAACCACCTGTCAGTGACCATGCAGGGAGGTCTAATCCCTCCTGGTCAAACTAGTGCAGTCAGGCTTTAATGTTGGATACTTCAATTTCATTGAATCAATGTTCTCCTTCTTCTTCAGTGGACAGGGACCTAATTTGAACGTATTCTATCACTTTGTCGGTGCCATCCCAGGATCCACTAATCCAGAGAAAATGATCAAAAGACTTCTCAGAGAACTCAATGTCTGTAATGTAAGTAATGTACATTATCATGAGTTAGGAGTATTTTCAATCATCAAGATGTATGATATAAACAGTTGTCTAATACTGCAAAGAAAAAAATTATGATGACATACTCATTGTGATTGGAGCTATTAGCTGAACATTATCTTTGAAATACCGGTACTGTTCTTTGTCAAAAGAGTAGATCAGCATGTTTTAGACACCATCTTTAATTACTTACAATTTTAAGATATCTACACTCTTCAATGATGTTTTGAAACTGAAACACTGAAAAACACAATGAAGGTGTCTTTTGCTTGTAGAGAATCTAGTTGAAAATATAACGATGTTTGGTTCATTTTCATCATTAACTATTAGCCTAAATGGTCATTAGACTAAATGATATTTAAACGAAATGATTATTAGACCATTTGGATAGTACACAGGCGGGTGTAGACCATATGGAAATAGACCAATTGGGTAGTAGACGAACAGGTCTTAGACCAAATGGCATATACTTCTGCATGCTGTCTATATAGTACTCTGTCATTTGCTTAATCCTGTGACGTTCTGAAAGCTGTTTCACCATGGCATATATGTAAGCCTAAATAGTGCAGGTATATTCCTGGTTTCTTTTTCTGAGCATTATCTTTGATAGTCCCATGTATGCTCTTTGTTGTTAGGACCTTAACATGCCCAAGGACTATGAATCAGCGTGCCAGATTGCAAGCAGTGCCCTCTCAAACCCAAACACAAGGCCAACAATCATCGTCATTGATGCTCTCGACCAGGTATGAATCAGTTCTAATCATGTTGAAATTAACATCGCTTTCTCTATGGTGCATAGAGTAGTTTAATAGATTGTAGATAGTACTGACAATTTCACTCCAAACTAAACCAAAGTGACTCATCCTCATATACTTGTGAGAAAAAGTTGACAGGAATGCACTTAAAAATGCTGTTTCTTTTCATATACATGACCAAGAGGATTGTCAGCAAATAATTACCGTTGGTGAAGGTGATGGGACAAACTATCACTTCCGAGGCGATCTGGATGTAGCTATCTCTCCGAAGCAAAGCTGAGGAAAGATGGCGTATACATTCAGATCGTCGAGGAAGTGATAGTTTGCCATTGGCTGAAACCAAAAGGTGATTATTTGCTTTATATTTCACATCGGAAACATTCCACTTCTTCCCTCATTTTAGACCAATAAATCATCAATTAACAGCAAGCAACAGTTGCTGTCCAAACTGGCTCCACAGGTCTGTTGTGTCTTCTCCGTAATCCTAAATTCCATGAAAACACCATTTCTCTTTTTTGCCCGTTAAAAGCTTGATGAGGACGGAACGGCCTCCGCTTCAAGATGGTTGCCATCCAAACTAAGATGGTTGCCGCCCCAACTTGCACCCCAGGTCTGTTGTGTCTTGTCCATGATCAACGAAACCCCTCCTCATCATACGCTGAGAGAGAGGAAGATCAAACGGGTGGAGCAACCCGTCCCCCCTCTAGAGATGGAATCTAGAAGGGTAAGACAATTCAATTCAATTCAATTCAATTTATTTTATTCAGTTAAAAATACAACATTTCATATAACAATCAGCTATATAACATAATATACACATTAAGAACATATTGGACAAGGACATAAAATTAACTGAATAGGTCGCAACCTGAAAGGAAACATAAACCCTATATAAAGGTTGACCCTTTTTTTGATACTAGAAAATATGAAATATATTTGTAACTAAACATTATACAATACACAAATTAAGAAAACAAACACACGTACAAACAAACAAATAAAATATGTCTTGAATTCAAATGATTATTGCAAAAATACACAAAGAAATTTCTTATACCTACGTTTAAATTCATTTACACTAGCAGAATTATGAATATAATGAGGAAGAGTGTTCCACTGAAACGGTCCTTAGAAAATAATTATTTGTTGGTTTATTACTGTACGATTCAATGGCAAATGAAATTTTTTAGCATTTCTAGTATTATAATTATGAATATTAGAGTTTAATATAAACAATTTGGAAATAGAATCAGGAAGATTATTCCCCCTGCCAGTGTCAATATTATTCAATAATATTTTTTGCGGTGTAGTTGTCAGTGGATTCTGCGTAAAGGACGGATAACTCTCCCGTTTGTGATAGGTGCAGAAATATCACTAATTTAAATTTTTCCTCCCAAGTGCCTTTACCCTTGCGGTGCTACTCAAAATATTTAATATATACTTTTCTTTTATAGGATTTGTAACGATACTATTAATAGTTCTCTAAAAAGAAAGACAATACTTTTTAGAAAAATTGAAAAGATTTCAGTAGCTTATAACAAAATCTGTCACTATTCACTGATGACAAGTTTTGTGGAACGCCCCCCTGAACCAAAATTTGAACTTTGAACAGGAGATTGTATCAGAGATCCTAGGTCAGTTCGACAAGCGTCTGGACGAGGAGCAGATGGTGAGTCTTCTGAGCAAAGAAGCATCTCAGAACCCTCTCTGGCTGTCTATCGCTTGTGAAGAGCTCCGAGTCTACGGTGTCTTCTCTAAGGTCACAGACAAGATCAACACCCTGGCAGATGGGCTTTTAGAGTAAGTTGATTGTATTTAAATAATTCATGATAATAGTGGGTTCTTGTCCATTAATATTGATGTGTAAATGTCTTGTTTTCAGGCTCCTGGCCCACTTTCTAGAGAGGTTTGAAGCTGAGGTTGGAGGAGCCTTATGATAGCCACCCTGTGTCTCCTGGAGTGCTCCTCTTCAGGTCTCCTGGAGGCTGATCTCCTTCCCTCCCTTGAGACAAAGATATATAAATATAAATGTTTTTAATTTTCTTTGTCAGGCTCCTAGCACAAGTCCTATAGAGCTATAAGAGTGGAGGGAGCCTGTTGGTAGCCACCCTGTCTCTCCTTGAGTGCTCCTTCATAGGTCACCTGGAGTCCGAGCTCCTTCCCTCTCTATGAGACAAAGTTGTATGAAATGATGTATCACCTGTCTATTTCTCTTTTCAGGCTCCTGGCTCAAGTCCTGGAGAGGTTGGAAGCTGAGGGTGGAGGGAGCCTTATGGTTGCTACCCTGTGTCTCCTGGAGTGCTCCTCCTCGGGTCTCCTGGAGGCTGAGCTCCTGGCCATCCTCGGAGATGAGGATAACCTGATGCCTTCAGATAATGGAAAGAACAACAAGAAAAAAGGTTTGTATTAAAGATGAGATGATTCATTGATCATTTATTTGTTTGCATGTTATGAAATTAGTCAGTAAGGCCTACAGGCTAAAATCCTAAACAAGGAAAACAACACCCTCAAAGGGTGTTGGACTACACATCCTCAAGAAAGATTACAGAGAGTCCTTTTCAGGACCCCACAGTCCTCCTTCTCTCTCTCTCACATGGTGCACCCGCAAGCCTACTGTATAACACCCTCAAAGTTCCACTATTGTATAGCTTGAAATTGTGACATGATCTTAATGCCCCCATAAAGATATCATTTTGGAAGATGCTTCCTTCAATATATGTACATTCACATGATTTGTATGTATTACATATCACGTATTAGCATCAAGCAGGCATCAAAGGAGACATGAAATTGCAATAATTGCTTTAATACCGTAAGGTGCAACACTAAGCTCATTCAAATTACATGTACCGTAATGTGTATAACATGCACTTTTTTCCCGCCAAATTTTTTTTTTGAAATTTGGGGGTGCGTCTTTTAAGTGTCGATTTATGCCCCCTCCACCTGCACTGTGCCTGGCAATATCTCCAAGCTCATTCATACAAGGTGTGTTGACTCACCACTTGCACCAATACAGTCACAGTAAGATACTGTAGGAAGTTATTTGAAGTGGCACAGTAAAACTGTACTAGATTATATAATCTGTAATCCAGGTTACAAAGTTGCAACAGTAATGTACTCTCACTATTTGTCACCTGGGTTATAGTGATGGCACAGCATCGAACTGTAGGATACAACTACAACAACACTACCTGTATGGCCGGATTTCTGTTGGACTTAGAGAAAAATTTGTCTGTCATCATTATTTTTAAAAATGACATTGTTATTATTATTTGTGTCAAGTTCACAAAAACAAATCGGCACCTTCAACTGCACCTCGCAGTGCATTTTTTAACACGGATCTGGCTTGCTGCCTACAGAGTCAGCAATTTTTTTGTTTTTGTTATTTATTTTGTTTCCCTGAAAAATAGGGGTGCGTCTAATACACAGAGATTTACAATATAAGCTTTTTTTAAGTATATTCAGTGAAAATGAATGACGAAAAAGGATCAGTAAAAGATGACAAATATTGCTGCGATACTGGGGGGTGCACGAGATATAGAATTTCTTGAAATGGGTGTAACTTAATCGAAATATAACCCTTTTCATATACAGTGAAACCTGTATGTAAAGACTGCTCAAGGAAGACAGTCACACGAAAAGTGGTCTTTATAGGCAGCTGGTCTTTATGTACAGGTTCCTTTAGCTTATGTTTCAATAAAAAAACACTTTTAAGGGAAACAGAAAATGTCTTTATAGACAGGTGGTCTTTCTATACAGGTGGTCTCTAAAGCAGGTGCTACTTTATCTTCTATGTATTTTGAAATGTTCAGGTGCCAGCAAGAAGAGGAAAAAATCCAACAAGCCCCAGCCGCTGACCGCCGTCAAGTGGGCCCGGGTCTACCGTACTCTGCAACCTTTCCTGCAACCCTTTGGGGAGAGTGGAGAGGGGCGGCTTGACTTTTCCCCCCCCTCCCTTAGCAAGGCCATCAGAAAGAAGTATTTCAATACCCGGCTGGCTGGGGTAGGAGAGGGAGAGGAAGCCATGAACGAAACTCTTGTACGCTGGTGGAACACAAAACTGACCGATTACTTTGAAAATGTGTCCAATCTGGAGAGGAAAGTTGAGGTTAGTGTCAGATGATGTGATAATAATAATAGTAAACAAATTGACACTCTTGGCACATATGAGAAAACTGTATGATTGTTGGCATACGTCTATCAATTAATTAAAGAAGGAAAGCAAAATACTTTAAAAAGTTTAAGTTTAACATACTTCAAGACATAATATTATGCATTTATACGTTATACATCTATATTATTAATACGCAAAATCGCCGCGGGGGGTCCAACACGGGCCAAAACGGTTCCTCAAAAACGTCTTTCCCCGACCGCGCTTACCTCCGCCGTGGCGCGGGGACGGCGGCACAATTCCACGAGGCATGTCTCCCGTAACCCGTGTGCCACGTCGACCCCGCGATCGACGTCCATGTCGTTAAACGCGGTTTCGGGGTGCCGGGGAGGACGGGCGAACGAAAGCACGGCGGGCTTGGTGGATTGCAAGGAGGCGACGAACCCACGAGAGCGAGTCGGCAAGGCGTGCATCCGCCCTCTGTGCAATCAACAAAGAGACACACGGCGGACGAGAATCCACTTCTGTCAATGGGTGTAGCACATCACGTAGTAACGGGTGTGGCTTACCCCGAGTTTAGGCCTCTTGCTATAGGATACGCTTTGTAGCATGTAAGAGAAATACACATTAACAGATGACTCACCCGGGAGATGGGATGTAGAAAATGCACGCTCTCACGGGTTGGGCTTACCCGTGTTATGCGTCTTTCTATATGATATGCTTTGTAGGCCAGCCGGACCTGCTGCGTGTACGAACGTACGTGTATAATGTATGCGGTGATTCTACGCTCACCATCACACGCACAGCTCAGTCGCTTCGTCTTTGATTCTATGATGATTGCCGTGATTTATATATAGTTTACGTGTATAGAGGTATGCAAGCAGGGTTACTTTGGTATTATCCTGTTCATGTTTACTGAATTTTGAAAATCATTCTTCAAAGTAAAGTTTTCACAAAAAATTCATCGTAACTGACGGTTCAGTTGCAGTTGCAAGGTAGCTGTAGTGAGGCACGGGCAGTGCAGTGCGCCACTGCTGCCGAGCACTGTCGGAACTGTGAATGTGTGTGAGGTGAGGTGAGCTGAGCTGAGCTATTATAGAGTAGACTCGACAATATTTTGAAATTGCTCTTATTGCCCCTATTTCAATATAGTTTCGTGACTATAGTATAGAGGTATGAAACCTGAGCTTAGATTGTGATTATTCTGTCCATGTATAGTTGTATGCTGAATTTCGATAATCATTTTTCAAAGTAAAGTTTTCACAAGAAAATCAGACGGTCGTTTAAAAACATAGCCATTGGCATTGTCTATAGCTGGATAGAATACTTTTACTATGATACAGTTCCTTCATGAAATCAATGCATTAAAACGGGTATTACGGTGCGCCATTCATGGTCAAACAGCGTTATAAAAATCGTCTAGATTCTAGGCCTAGACCTTATATAAAAATAATCAAATTTTATTTTCGATAGCACATAGGGTCTAGGCCTCTTTCTATTTACCCCCCCCCCCCTCCCCTGCCCTCCCCCTAGAATCCCGTGGATTTTCCACGGGTCCTGCTAGTTACATATATTATACATTTATATATTGTCTCTTCTTTAATTCATTCAGATTTGTTTATATTAGGCCTGAGTCAAACCGTTTAACCGACGGTTATCCGACCGCATTCATCAAAACCGGTTAGCATTTCTTGCTACGTTTAACCGTTATTTGCATACATTTTGGAATGTGCTAATAGCCGATGATAAAGATAATCAAAGAAACCGCAATGTAATGTTACACCCTGTCCGCTGGTGCCAGCTTTCTGGCAGCAGTAATCTCCATGAATGAATTTGTAAACAATAAAACAACCATGCCCTCTTCCCTATTTTCTCACCCTCTCTATTCCCTTCTCTCTGCAATGTGTTCATGTACCTTTTCTTATTACTGCACTCTCAGACAAGCAAAGTTCTAAATGTTTACACATTCTATGGTCAGTTCCTCTCACATCCCTTCTCCCCGAGTCTCTCTCTCTCTCTCTCAATATTAATATCAATCCCTTGCTGACTCGCCCCCCTAAAATAATGTTCATATATAAATAAAATACAAAAATAATGATAACAATAATAATTGAAGTTTTAGAAATATCAATCAACAAAGTCTTGGATGTTGTGAGTAATTTACCTTCACTCTCTCATGTCCCTGACTGGTCCATGCAGCTCTCTTTCACACACACACACGTACACACAAACCTCAAACATCGGCGCCCCACACACTGTACATGTGCATACACACAGATGGAGAGCACATGGCTTCTTGACTCTCACTGAACTGTGTGAAAGTACGTGCGGTCACCAACCTGTAATTTATGCTGGTATCGAACTCCACCCACATAGCTAGAGAACCTTCCTGATTGGTCACTAACTTGGATCAGCTCATTGCAGGGTGTGTCTTAGGTGTGAGTGTTACACACTTCCACATAATTTCATATGGCAATGATACATGCAGCAGGGACATGCTAGACATGTCCCTGCATGAAGGGAGCTTTCTCCCTGACCACGTGCAAACATTGCATTGCAAAGGCATATATAAACACGTCACAGATCAAGCTATCTTCACAGCCTATCTTTGCAAGGTTAATCATGATATCAGATTCAGATGAGGCATAATAAGACATTTTTTATGTTGTTTATTACTGGTCTCTGTTTATCAGGATGACCCAATTTGTGCCATAGTCCGCTCGGAATGCTCAGCCCGACAGTCTGAAGACCATCAGGCGTTCTGAGCAACATCGCTATTACAAATACTATATTTTCACTTTTTCAGATTATTATTAAACGGTTAAACGAAACCGCCCGTATACTTTTAACGGTTAACCGTTTAGCGCAAAAACCGTAATGACTCAGGCTTAGTTTATATACATAATTATCATCATTTAGCCTTGTCTTTTTTGTTGCTTTGTTGATATCTTTAGTAATAGAATATAAACCTGAAAGGGTCAAAGTACAAAACAAGCAGTTATGCTATGAATTGTGGGCAGCGCTAAAATCTTATTTAAAATCTGAACAAGTAGAATTGAATTTACAGGAAAAGGAACAATATTCATTATGAAATACAATGTAAGGATCACTTTTTAAACAAATTGATTGCTTTTGAGTTTTCAGGAGAAGCCACATCAACTGATCAAATAGGGGTTAAATTCTATTTGACTTTTGACTGAATGCAGCTGTAATTGAGACGTGATTAACAAGACAAAAAAGACTGGGCACAAGGAAATGAGACAATTTATGCTTGGGACACATATTCAAGATTCCAATTTAATGACTTAAATTTGTTTGCGTTTCAGGAATATCCATATCAACTGAGAAAGTTAGGAGACAAGGAGCGTTTAATTGAATTCCTCTGTGATTGGGATATGATCGAGGGTCTGTATAATGAAGACTACAGCTCGCAGCTTCTTTCTTACTGGAGACGGGTAATACAAAAAAAAATACAAATTAAATTTCATAGCATAGTAACCAAATATAGAGAGGATCATTCTCAGTGTTATTATATAGCTAAAACAATGCTCCCCAGGGAGTGGAAAATGTGCATACATTGTGTGCAGGTAAGCCTGAGTCCGATGACCGGGGTAATAATATATCTGTAAAGCGCTTACCGGTAGGCACATCACTGTATCGATGTATTGGGCGCTGTGTAAAAGCAGAATATTATTATTATTATTAATATTAGAAATAATCTCTAAACTTTAGAAGTGCATAGGGATGTTATTTGCACTCTATTATTACCGGTATTATTATTTTTAAACACTTTGCAAAAAAAACATTAATTAAAATTGTTATTTGATTATTGATTGGCTTAGTCAAGATCCTATACAATACATTCTCCCTTGTACATTCAAAACCATAGAGACCTTCCCAGGTTTAAAGGAAGGTAATAATATTGATCTTATTAGTTTCGCCAGCATTTCAATGTTTGCCAATTAATCACGTTTGATTCAGTTGCAAAACGAGGTTTATCTTGCCTTTGATGCACTAATAAATGTTCAGATGAATGAATCCGCCTGGTTCTGATTTTGAATGAAAAATAACCATTTGCCGTGTAGGTTTCTTTTGTAATGGGCATTTACGTTTGGCTTTTATGTTTAAAATGATTTGTCTTAAAAGTCGTACCTTCATTCTTCTATAGATGGATGAGAAATATGATACAATGGCATCTAAATACACCGAGATGAGTGTTGCTATGTCGAGTGATGATCCTAAAAAGACTGCAGATAAACTCAGCTGCCTTGCACGCATTCTGTAAGTGCCTAACAAGCTTTAGTACTATGCATGTGGTACATGTACTTTTTAAAGGTATAATCTAAACGTTTTGATATGGTTGTAAATGTACTGCAGTTGAAGTTATTAGTAATTAGGCTTAAAATCTGAAGGAAAAACATCCTGGGCAGTCGTTAGAAGAATTATCAATATTCAGAAAGGGGGGAAAAAGAATTAGAAAGGGGGAGGGGGGGGGGGGGGGGGGAAATGAGAATGGTAAAAATTATATTTGTACTGTGATTTGAAAGAAAGTATTTACTGTTGCTGCTACCCGTCATCTCTCAACTAATTTTATACTGACTTGATTTTTCAAGATATATGCATGTACATGTACAGTGTATAATACTCATAAAATCGTCTGTCTTTGATTTGTGCATACATCCTTGTTGTTTTGTCTTGTCTGTTGTAAAAGCCATTCAAGAGCATAGAAACATGACTGCTGATAGAATTCTTCTCTCAAGAAACATCCATTTGAAAATAGTTAACAAATGGAAGTTTATTGATGCATTGTCTCGTCTCATATAATATCCGTTCAAAAGAATAGAAGAAACAAACCAAAAAAGTTTTTTGAATGTTTTTTTTCCCCCTCATTACAAGGAGGATCCATTGAAAAGTACGACCATTCATTGAATGTTGTAACATGCTTCATATATTATTCATTTGGAAAAATTGAAGATTTAACAATTTGTTGATGTATTGTTTTAACTGCCACTAAAACCCAGTTTAAAGGGATCATAAGATCTTTGTCTCAGATTCTAAACAAAATCCTGGATACACATAATCATAAATCTTTAGTTCAGTCAGGAATCCCATGACGTTTACAAGCGGATTGCCCATCTGATTATCAAGATATTTATAATTTAAATTCGAAATTTTTATGCCTCCGCCACCGAAGGCATCATGTTTTCGGGTTGTCCGTCCGTACATCCGTACGTCCGTCCGTACGTCTGTCCGTCCATACGTCCGTACGTCCGTCCCGTTTGACCGTTATCACAATATCTCAAGAACCATTTAAGATTTAAACTTAAGACTCGGTAATAGTATTTATCACCATAGGAAGACGATCTGATTAGATTTTGGAGTACGTAGGTCAAAGGTCACAGGTCACAGAGGTCAACTTATGAAATTCCTTGTATTGAGTTTGTTAGCGCGATATCTCAAGAACCATTTGAGATTTAAACTTCAAACTTAAGGATAGTATGTATCACCATAGGAAGACGATCTGATTAGATTTTGGAGCACGTATGTCAAAGGTCAAGGGTCACAGAGGTCAACTTATGAAATTCCATACATTGAGATTGTTATCATGATATCTCAAGAACCCCTGGAGATTTAAACTTCAAACTTAATGATAGTGTGTATCACTATAAGAAAAAAATCTGATTACATTTTGGAGCACGTAGGTCAAAGGTCAAGGGTCATAGAGGTCAACTTATGAAATTCCATACATTGAGATTGTTATCATGATATCTCAAGAACCACTGGAGATGTAAAAACTTCAAACTTAAGGATAGTATGTATCACCATAGGAAGACGATCTGAATAGATTTTGGAGCACGTAGGTCAAAGGTCAAGGCTCACAGAGGTCAACTTATGAAATTCCATACATTGAGATTGTTATCATAATATCTCAAGAACCACTGGAGATTTAAACTCCAAACTTGTTTAAATTGCTCTATGGCGGAGGCATCATTTTCGACTGCGCGGAGTCAAAATTCCATCTAGTTTTTGAATAGGTTAGTTTCCCCACAATGAATGTCCATACATGCCATTAGATGGATCCTGACCCCTAATCCTTTTGAAAGGGGCGTAGGGGCAAATATTGTGATAATTTGAATAAACACCAATTTCAGGCCGAAATGGTAAGGTCCGGGGTGGTTCAGGATTTTGGAGGAAAATATATATTTTTTTTAATAGGATAGTTTCCCCACAATGAATGTACCTACATGCCATTAGATGGATCTTGACCCCCATATCCCTTTGAAAGGGGCATAGGGTCAAATATTGTGATAATTTGAATAAACACCAATATCAGGCCAAAATGGTAAGGGCCGGGGTGGTTCAGCATTTTCGAGGAAAATATTATATTTTGTGAATAGGCTAGTTTCCCCACAATCAATGTACATACATGCCATTAGATGGATCCTGACCCCCATATCCCTTTGGAAGGGGCGTAGGGGCAAATATTGTAAAAATTTAAAATATCACAACTTTCGGGCCGAAATTAGAAGGTGCGGGGTGGATCAGCATTTTGGAGGAAAATATTATATTTTGTGAATAGGTTAGTTTCCCCACAATGAATGTCCATACATGCCATTAGATGATCCAGACCCCCATATCCCTTTGAAAGGGGAGTAGGGGCAAATATTGTGATAATTTGAATAAACACCAATTTCGTGCCGAAATTGTAAGGGCCGGGGTGGTTCAGCATTTTGGAGGAAAATATATATTTTTTTAATAGGCTAGTTTCCCCACAATGAATGTCCATACATGCCATTAGATGGATCTTGACCCCCATATCCCTTTGAAAGGGGCATAGGGGCAAATATTGTGATAATTTGAATAAACACCCATTTCAGGCCAAAATGGTAAGGTCCGGGGTGGTTCAGCATTTTCGAGGAAAATATTATATTTTTAGAATAGGCTAGTTTCCCCACAATCAATGTACCTACATGCCATTAGATGGATCTTGACCCCCATATCCCTTTGAAAGGGGCATAGGGCAAATATTGTGATAATTTGAATAAACACCAATTTCAGGCCAAAATGGTAAGGGCCGGGGTGGTTCAGCATTTTCGAGGAAAATATATATTTTTTTAATAGGCTAGTTTCCCCACAATCAATGTACATACATGCCATTAGATGGATCTTGACCCCCATATCCCTTTGAAAGGGGCGTAGGGGCAAATATTGTGATAATTTGAATAAACACCAATTTCAGGCCGAAATGGTAAGGGCCGGGGTAGTTCAGGATTTTGGAGGAAAATATATATTTTTTTTAATAGGCTAGTTTCCCCACAATGATTGTACCTACATGCAATTAAATCGATTCTGACCCCCATATCCCTTTGAAAGGGGCGTAGTGGCAAATATTGTAAAAATTTGAATTATCACAACTTTCGGGCCGAAATTAGAAGGTCCGGGGTGGTTTAGCATTTTGGAGGAAAATATTATATTTTTTTAATAGGTTAGTTTCCCCACAATGAATGTCCATACATGCCATTAGATGGATCTTGACCCCCATATCCCTTTGAAAGGGGCGTAGGGGCAAATATTGTGATAATTTGAATTATCACAACTTTCGTGCCGAAATTGTAAGGGCCGGGGTGGTTCAGCATTTTGGAGGAAAATATTATTTTTTTTGAATAGGTTAGTTTCCCCACAATGAATGTCCATACATGCCATTAGATGGATCCTGACCCCTAATCCCTTTGAAAGGGGCGTAGGGGCAAATATTGTGATAATTTGAATAACCACCAATTTCAGGCCGAAATGGTAAGGGCCGGGGTGGTTCAGGATTTTGGAGGAAAATATATATTTTTTTTAATAGGCTAGTTTCCCCACAATGATTGTACCTACATGCAATTAAATCGATTCTGACCCCCATATCCCTTTGAAAGGGGCGTAGTGGCAAATATTGTAAAAATTTGAATTATCACAACTTTCGGGCCGAAATTGTAAGGGCCGGGGTGGTTCAGCATTTTGAAGGAAAAAATTTATTTTTTGATTAGGATAGTTACCCCACAATGAATGTACATACGTGCCATTAGATGAATCCTGACCCCCATATCCCTTTGAAAGGGGCGTAGGGGCAAATATTGTGATAATTTGAATAAACACCAATTTCAGGCCGAAATGGTAAGGGCCGGGGTGGTTCAGGATTTTGGAGGAAAATATATATTTTTTTTAATAGGCTAGTTTCCCCACAATGATTGTACCTACATGCAATTAAATCGATTCTGACCCCCATATCCCTTTGAAAGGGGCGTAGTGGCAAATATTGTAAAAATTTGAATTATCACAACTTTTGGGCCGAAATTGTAAGGGCCGGGGTGGTTCAGCATTTTGGAGGAAAATATTATATTTTTTTAATAGGCTAGTTTCCCCACAATGAATGTACATAAATGCCATTAGATGGATCCTGACCCCCATATCCCTTTGAAAGGGGCGAAGGGGCAAATATTGTAAAGATTTGAATTATCACAACTTTCGTGCCGAAATTTAAGGGCCGGGGTGGTTCAGCATTTTGGAGGAAAATATATATTTTTTTAATAGGCTAGTTTCCCCACAATGAATGTACATACATGCCATTAGATGGATCCTGACCCCCATATCCCTTTGAAAGGGGCGTAGGGGCAAATATTGTAAAAATTTGAATTATCACAACTTTCGGGCCGAAATTAGAAGGTCCAGGGTGGTTCAGCATTTTGGAGGAAAATATTATTTTTTTTGAATAGGTTAGTTTCCCCACAATGAATGTCCATACATGCCATTAGATGGATCTTGACCCCCATATCTCTTTGAAAGGGGCGTAGGGGCAAATATTGTGATAATTTGAATTATCACAACTTTCGTGCCGAAATTGTAAGGGCCGGGGTGGTTCAGGATTTTGGAGGAAAATATTATTTTTTTTGAATAGGTTAGTTTCCCCACAATGAATGTCCATACATGCCATTAGATGGATCTTGACCCTCATATCCCTTTGAAAGGGGCGTAGGGGCAAATATTGTGATAATTTGAATTATCACAACTTTCGTGCCGAAATTGTAAG